CCCGCGCACTGGCCCTGGCTCCCAGTCCCCTGCACCAGCCTCCCTCCCAGACCCCACCTCCATCCCACTCCTGTATCCTCCCTCCCAGACCCCCACCTCCATCCCACTCCTGTATCCTCCCTCCCAGACCCCCATCTCCACCCCACTCCTGTACCCTCCCTCCCAGATCCCCCACTCTGTTCCTATTCCAGACCCCCAATCCCCACTCCACTCCACTCCTGCACCCTCTCTCCCAGACCCCCTATCTCCATGCCACTCCTGCATCCTCCCTCCCTCCCAGATCTCCCATGTCCACCCTGCTTCTGCACCCAACCTGCTGGCGAGACTCCATACCCTCACATCCTCCTGCACCCATTTTATCATCATGGGCGGTTGGCTGGTGGTCTGCGGAAAGGTCTGTGTTGAGTGGGCCAAAAAAGTTGAGAGCCACTGCACTAGGCCTCTGGTCAGCTCTTACCACCTCCTCCTGCCTGTGACACATGTGACAAGGGCTGTGTAGCCTGCCCCCTCACTGTGCTGGGTCTGGGGAAAGGACTAGGGGTATGTCTACACTACCCTCCTAGTTCGAACTAGGAGGGTAATGTAGGCATACCGCACTTGCTAATGAAGCCCGGGATTTGAATTTCCCGGGCTTCATTAGCATAAGCGGGGAGCCGCCATTTTTAAATCCCCGCTGCTTCGAACCCCGTGTAGCCGCGCTACACGGGGTTCGAAGCAGCGGGGATTTAAAAATGGCGGCTCCCCGCTTATGCTAATGAAGCCCGGGATTTGAATTTCCCGGGCTTCATTAGCATAAGCGGGGAGCCGCCATTTTTAAATCCCCGCTGCTTCGAACCCCGTGTAGCCGCGCTACACGGGGTTCGAAGCAGCGGGGATTTAAAAATGGCGGCTCCCCGCTTATGCTAATGAAGCCCGGGATTTGAATTTCCCGGGCTTCATTAGCAAGTGCGGTATGCCTACATTACCCTCCTAGTTCGAACTAGGAGGGTAGTGTAGACATACCCGTAGGGAGCTGGAAGCTCCCACCGGGCTGAGCCCCAAGGGCAAGGCCGTGGCATTGGAATGGGGGAGGTGTCTGAAAAGGATTGGGCACGGTGCAGGGCTGGGTTGGGCTTTAAAACTGGGCCTAAGCAGACCTCTGCTTTGAGCCCCAACTCCACCCAGTGCCCCAGGGAAGGTCTTTGGGCCAGCAGGCAGGAACTGCTGCCCCCTGGGGCAAGTCCCAGGAGAAAGGACCAAGCTCTGAGCCAGCAGTGCTGGAGTTTCCCCTTCCTGGTGTACCCACTGGGCCTGCCCCCTGCCCACTCCGCAATGAGGACAGCCTTGGTCCTAGAGACGGTGTCTCCGGGCCACGTGCTGGGCTGGGACCTGGCCCGAGGTTCAGGCTGGACACACCCGGCTGTGCCATTCTGACTCTATGCAGGAGGGAGCAGGGCTGAAGGCGACTCGCCCCCCTGGGCGGAGGTGGGAATTGGTGGCGGGGATTCTGCCACGTGGACAGTGACTGTGGCTCTCCATGGCTGCCCATGTCCAGAAGTATGAAGACTGGCACAGTCTGCCACAGCAAGCCTCTGCCTAGGGCACAGGGCTGGCGAATAACCGGCCCATAGCACCTGCTGGGCCCCTGGCTGCCTGTAATCTGCCAGGGAGGGCCCTGGCACAGCTGGCGCTCTCATGTCCCCCAGGGCGTGAGGGGTCTTTCAGCTCCTTCCTCCTCCCTTTCCCACTGCACAGGGGCAGGGCCAAGTGCCGTTCTGCACCAGCGTGGAGGCTGGGGGCACTGCGCCATTCCTGCCCTGCCCCACCCTCTGGGCTCTGACGGCCCGTCAGGGGATCCTGCTGTCCAGGCAGCCGTCACTGCGAACAGGGCTCGGGCCAGGGCAGCCTCAGGGCTTCTCTCTGCTGCTCCCTGCAACGTATCAGGGTCTGCTGATCGCTGGGCCGGCCAGGGCGCTCCATCTGGGGCACCCAGCTCTTGCTTTCAGTCCTGGAGAGGGGGCACCCCTCCTGCCCTGGGCCTGTTCCCAGGGGAGGGGAGTGAGTGGGGGTGAAGGTACCAGGCCTGGCCCAACCCTGCGCTGTGCTCTTCCCCCAGGCGGTGGCGGTGCACTGCCTGCTGGGGTTTGGCAGGACGGGAACCCTGCTAGCCTGCTACCTGGTGAAGGCCCAGAGGCTCACCGGGGTCGATGCCATCCACGAGATCCGGAGACTCCGGCCCGGAGCCATCGAGACGCACGAGCAGGAGAAAGCTGTGATCCAGTTCCACCACCACATCAAATAGCCCCTGCCGGCGCCCCCGCTCGGCTCCTGACACCCGCTGTGGGCGCCGACTGGGCCTGTGGCTGGGTGCTCCTTTGCCCAGGAGGGGACCTTCCCTGCTCCTCTCGGCAGTGTCTGCCTGCGCTGGGCCCGGGCACGCCCCAGCCCCCTTTATGCAAGGCCAAAAGGTTGAGATTTGAATCGGTGAGGGGTGGGGGCCCCCACCTCTGGGATCTTTGCCTTGGGTGAGTCGGCCCCCTAGGGAGTGGGGCTGGGCCCTGCAGGGCTGCCGGGAGGCTACCCAGGCCTGCAGGGCGCAGGGTGGAGCCGGTCCTGGCAAGCACTGGAGGGGTGGGGGGCTTTATTCTTCTGAGCTGCTGCCAAAGTGCTACCCCCCCCAATAAAAGAAGTTGGTGCTGGCTCCCCTGGTGGTCTCTGTGTGGGGCGCTGCATGCTGGGTGGAGGCAGGGGAGGGGTTTGCTCCTACTACTCCCATGGAACCGCGGCGTTTCTTGTGAGCATGTCCAGAGCTGCACAGAGGTGAGGGGGGCTGGGGAGCTGCTGGGGCAGACCACGTGCTGCTGGCTCTAGGGGTTGTGACTGCATGAGAGGTGGCCCCCACCCTGTGTGGGATTCGCTGTGGATGCAGAGGCCGTGGGTCCAGGGCAGCCGGGTGCAGTCTGGTCCTGCTGGGCACTCCAGTGCTGCAGGCCCAGCTGTGGGAGGATCGGCTGCTGCATGACAGCTTTCCCAGCCCGCGACCAAGCTTCTCCAAGGCCAGCACAAGACTGGGAGCCTCAAGCCAGATGGGAGGGGCACTTCCCACCTGGCACCCAGCGTCATCCCCTCCCGCAAGTCACACCTGCTGCTAAGGCCGGGAAGGACTTGCCATGGGAGAGGAGTGACTGGAAAGCAGCCAGGGTGTCCTCCCTCTACTGTGCAGGGTGGAGGGGGAGGCTGTGAGAGGGTTCTATGCCACTCCCTTTGCCCCAAAGCCCCCACATCAGACATCATAGCCTGGATGCCACCGTGCTTCACGCAGCTGGCAGGGGCGGGAGCAGAGAGAGGCTGTGCCAGCTGCTGAGCCCAGGAGCGAAACTACTGCGGTGGTGGGGGGGGGGGTCTCAGACATCCACCCACCACAGAACTGGCTCAAGTCCCCACCCTGTAACCTGGGGAATTCACACACCATCCCTGGGTGTCTCTTTCTTCCCCACTCACAGCACAGGGTCTGAGCGTAGATAAGAAACATTGAATAGAAGGGAGGGCAGTAACTTGGCATTGATTTGGGGAAACACCACAAACAGGGTTCAGAAACATTAAACCACGAGGAAAGAGCCCCTCCCCAAGTAGGTTGGGCTGTGTCCTTTTCTGCTCAGGTTCTGATGTCCAGCAATGTCATTGTCCCCGTCCCGTGCCCAACCCTTCTCTGCACCCCACTCACAGTCGCTGCACTTGGTCAGGGCCGACCCAGAGTTCAGAGATGCAGCCGCAGAGTTTGCCTCCCCACTCAGGATGGGAGGTGAAGAGGCACCTTACCTGTTCTGCTGGTCACTCGCCATCTGCCTGCTCACTGTTCTCCGCTGCTGCCCTCCTGGCCATTCATCTCCTCTCTTCCCTGCTGGCCATTCATCTCCCCTCTTCCCCGCCTCCTTGCTGACTGCTCATCGTACCACCACTGCTCTGTTGATCACTTGTCACAGCTCTCCATCAGCTGGCAGCTCACTGCTTCCGCCTGCTTGTGGTGGATTTGGCTTAGGGCAAAAACCCTGATGATTTCAGCTCTCAGTAGTTCCAACTCTTGGCCCAAAGCACAGCCCAGCCGCAAGAAATTCCAGCATCCGCTGGAGTAAATTTAAAAGAACAAAAGAGACTCCTTAGGGAACCTATTCTAGCTCTACTGTTGAGTCACTGGGGAGAAAGAGGCTGAGCCAGTCTTAAAGCTCATGGCTGGCGGGCATATATCCTGCTGATTGACAGACATGTCCTTCCCACTTAACCTCACAGAACATTGGCCGTGGAGCCCTTGTCCATCCCAGGTCCTTTAAACTGACCGTGTCTCTCTGCTGGTGAACTGGGTTAAACACCGTTTGTCTTTGCTGCATTCCCACAATCATCGCAAGCCTTGGTGACCGTATTTCACAATTCCCACGTTCAGTATTGACATCATCTGTGACCCCACAATAGCCAAACATGAGAATGGGCAAAATGCCCCTGCCTCAGTTGACTGTCTAGCAAAGCGAGGTAAACTGGAGCGAACTATTTACATGCACACACCCAGAGAGTCTCATTCTTTAAACTGAGCGTGTCTCTCTCTTTGAGCCAGGCTAAGCACCACGTCTCTTTTTCATAGTCCCGCGATAATTACAGACATTGCAATTGGTATTAACACAATTTGCAAGCCCACACCACCAAGCTGATTACAATGAGCAAAACACGGCTCTGTCAAGTGAATATTTAACAATCCTAAGCAAAGCAGGAGCAAACAGTAATTACATACAACGAATAGTCATGTGGCACCTTATAGACACACTCAGGGTCTCTCCCCACTTCCAGCTCCCTGTAAGGGGCACATTCTTTCAGATCCTGCTTATGCACAGAAACATTCATAGCTGGAAGAGCTGAGACTGGTGGCCTTCACAGGTAGCTCTAGGCCAGTGCATTAGAGGGGCCTTTTGCTCTGTTTTTTTCTCAGATGCAGGAAGGCATGTAGAGCTGCCTGGCTGCACCATGCAAAGCATCTGGCAGGTCTGAAAAGAATTTGGGCTGCTTTTCCCCTCTGGGAACCCTCCTGGCCTTTGCCCAATGGTGCCCCTGGAAACTATGGCCTCTCCAGCTCTCTGCCTTCGCTTTGCTCTGTGCAGGAAGTTGAGTCTTGGGAGCTAGAGGTGGCAAGTCACTTTCTAGTTGGAAGTATCCTCCTTTGTCTGTGGTCTGTTTGCTGTGCGCTGGCTGGATTGACGTTTATAGTCTGCTCTCTTTGGGGGCTGTGTGTGGAGCCAGGCAGCCTGCTAGGCAAAGCTGAGAGCTTCCCACGTCCTCTGACCCCTCATCCTTTTAGGGTCCTTTAACGAGGGGGAGGGGCCACTCTGGGAGAACAAAGGTTGAAAAAGCCAGCTCCTAAGTGACCACAGGCGCTAGTGACAAGGGATGTTTTGCCAGGGAGTTTAGAAAAGGAATGTGGGAACCAGCAACAGCCGATTAACAATCTCAGGTCAATTAACACCCCCCCTCCAAAAACACCCCAGCCAGCCTGCAGGAGGAGAAGGAATGCAGGTGAAAGTCCAAGAATGGGGGGAAGGGGGAAGTCCAGTTTATTGCTCTGAATGCAGCATGTAGATTACCTGCCTTGTGGGCCGGTGGGGTGTGTGTGTGCATTCGGTGCAAGGAGCTCACAGCCTGCAGAGACCATACGGGACCTGAGACCAGAGCGGCTGAACTGGAGAAGCAAAAGGAGACAGAGATACAGACAGGAGGCTTTCTGGGCACAAAAGAGCAGTTCCATGCCCAGCCTGACAGCACCTGTGCTGCTAAGGACGGTGAAAATCTTGGAAGGAGAACATGAGGCTGGAGCAGAAAGAAACAATCCCATAGTTGGGACCTTCCTTCCAGATGATGCCGTGGTGTCCTCTTGTACCTTTGCAGAGGTGCGGAGCCCAGTTATTAGGAAGAGACAGGCAACAGTGATGGGGGACTCAGTTAATTAGAAATACAGATTGTGGGTTTGTGATAACCAGGAAAACTCCAGGGTGAATTGCTTGTTGGGTGTGAAGGTTGCGGATCTCACAAGCCATCTAGATCAGAGGTTCCCAAACTTTTCTTATTGCACCCTCCCCTTCCAGACTTACCAGTTGCCCATGTATCTGTACCAGAATGCAGGTTTTATATAGCAACCCTTCAGTGCCCAAACAGGGTACAAATTATAATACACATAAACCCATGTAATATAAAGGTCTATAGTAGTAATATATATCATTTACAGGTTCAGTTTTAATGATTGCTTGTATTTAACCAATGTAAAGAATGGCTGAGTACCTCTCACCAGTAATGTGATGGATGAGGTTGGCTGAGCACAAGCACACGTCTGAAGCGCCTGGGGATAGTTTGAGGCATACGTTGTTTTCTATCCTGGAGCACTGATGTGACTTTGATTTCATTCCAGCGAGTGATGAAAATCCACTTTCACACACATCAGGGGTAGCAAACAGCACCAAAGACTTGGCCAGTCTCACAATTCGGGGAACTCAGCTAACATCTGGATCCAAAAGCCAGCCACTTGCCTTTGCTGGGACTCATACCAGGAGTTCACAGCCATTGAGGTGTCCGGGAGATTTTCTGGTTCTTTTATTGACAAATTTTGCAGCTTGGGTATTGCAGAAAACATTGCGAAAGGGTAGGGAACCCATGTGGTTGCATGTCCTATTGAGGGAGAAAGTACTCCCAAAATTGCCTCATTAGTTCAGTGCAATGCTGCTTGGTGTCGCCTTTAACACTGCCCTGAAACTGTAGTTCATTTGTTGTCAGGAATTCACACCTGTTTGGGGACACATCAGTGTTGTTTTCCTCTATGCAGCGAGCCCAGAATGTCAGCTTTTTTCATCATTTGTCCTGGACATTGAAGACGGTTGCATTCAGCCCTTGACGTCCTCGATTTGATTCTTTCAGGAGAGAGAATGTATCTGACAAGCCGCCCAGCCGTGAGAGGCCGTGTCATGCAGACAGCGAGAGAGTGGGCATGGGTGGTCTCGAAAGAGTATCTTGACCTGCGTGAAGTTCAAAGAAACATGCCCTGTCACAGCCGTCAAACCATTGTGTGGAGCTGCAGATTGGCAAGATGGCTTCCCAGCTCATTCCATAGAGTGGGAAAAAGGTCTGGAATTCAAGGGTCAAACTTTCATAACATTTGACCTCTTTGTAACAAGCAGCACTTCTTCAAGTTGGTGGGCCTGCTTTGGTCAGCAAACAGCACTTCCCTACGCCACATTGGGAGCAACTGCTCTGATACGTCTCGCTGCTCCGCTGAACCTCCAGTCACTGGCTTTGCTCCACCAGTGCAGATGCCAATACGCCAAGACCAGATAAGATGTTGATTTATGACTCTTGTCAAGCAACTGGAAAAATCTCCTCAGCTGTTGTTCTGGTGGGGCGGTGACTGGCATATCCACCAGAAGGTGGTCGAGGACCCACCCGGCTGCGGAGCGAAGTCCTCACTGCTGGTGACAGGGTTCACTAATTGAGTTAGGACATCATTGGCCGCCTCATCCATTCAGTGGGACACTGCAATATTGGAGAATGGCACCAACCGAGTGAATTTTGAGGCCTTCTTTCCAAGCCCAGCACAGGCCATGACTGAGGCCACACATGGTCCCAGCTGCTACGGTTTTCCTGACTTCACCACTTTGCGACTCACTCGTGATGCTT